AAGAAACTCAGAATTCAATATCCAAAGTCATCAATGTACACTACTACCAGTTCAAATAACTCATATGCAGACTTTTACTTAGTGCTTCCAGTGTATGACACGATTTTAATTCAGAGGAAAGCATGCCAAATCAATGTTCAATTATTGTAGAGACACTCAACAAAGGCTTCAAGGTGTCGTTATCCCAGGTGATGCCCTCAGAAATGACAGTAACTCCGAAATTTCATTTATATTTTTTCATATGTCCTCATGCCTGTTCTACATGTCTATGTACCCAAAAGGGAAAAAATGAATTATTTGAAAAATCTGAAGAAACGGGGAGCTCCAGCTTCCAAGGGAAAAATCCACTCCAAGGCTACACAGAGAAAGAAGCTAGTATTCTACATCATGTTAGAAAAACAATGCAGAGGGCTGGGGTAAAAAGAAAAAAGAGTAAAAGCACTATTTTTTTTTTTGATCAAGGCACTAGATGAATTTAGTGGGATTCTGATTCACTAGGCCTGGGGTGGGGCCCAGAAAACTTCATTTTTAACGATCAGCCCATATGATTCTGATGCAGGTGGCCTGGGGAGACCTGTAGAAACTTAGCAGTAGATAGTGTTAAGACTAACAAGCAACAAAAGAGACAACAAGGTGATGTATTGTCAGCTAGATCACAGGAAGGTGAGACACCTGGCTACCAGAGGCGATAAGCAGCAGCCAAGGAAAATAATTAAGGACAGAGCAATGAAATTAAGTAATTAAAGAAAAATACTTACAGTGTGGGTGTTGATGATTTCACCAATGGAAATGTAGATGACTGGTTTGGTGAGAGTTACTAAATCAGAGTACTCATCCACATTAAATTTATCCTGAAGTTCTGGGACATCACAAGCAGTTTGGAAAAACCGTCTGAAATAAGCACCAGAGGTAGCCCCCCAAAAAATGACATGTGCATGAGAAGTTGGCAAGATAATGTTCCACAAACCTCTCACACAATGACTGCAAACAGAAGCCAGTCAAGACAGTTACTTCAAGAGAAACGGCTATGTCTGCTGTGCTCGACAACTGTGAGATATTGGCTCTAACAGCTTCTTTCTCCACCTAGTTTATAGTTTTACCCACAAGAACCACTGCAACTTGATTTAAAACAGTTCTCAGACACCATTAGGAGAGCCAGCTCTATCTCTAAGATGGTGCTTTGAGGCACTGAATTCAAAACTCGATGTTAATTTGCAAAAACTAAAAGCATTCTCCAATTCTTCTCTGATTATAAAGTAACATGTACTAAATACATAATCATTATTTTTATGTTAACTACTATCTATTTCACATGAAAATTCTCTTGAAAGTAAATGCATCACCTTCTGGAGTCCTGGACACATCAAACATGTATTCTACAATACAGTAGACCGGGGAAAGTGAAGGGTGGTTTTTAATCTTGTCTTTCCCCTCAATGATAAAAATACACCCACAGACTCTCTTAAGCACTTGTACCTTTCCCCTTACCTGAATTTCTGGTAGGACTGGGAAAGATATTCATTAATGATGCTTAAGTGAGCGTTATCTCCCAGAAACATCTTATTGGAAGCAGCATGCTGAAGCATTTTTGCAATGGAGCCCAGGTTTCGGCGTTGGTCTGTGGTAAGCTGGCCTCCCGCCGACAGGTCAATGATGTCAAAGGCATCAGGAGCAACAATGGCTGGATTCATGTATCGATAATAAAGCAAGTTACCAATAATCTGGAAGAGATGAAACAGAAAGATGGATATTAAAAGACATTCCACCAAGTAAGCCACAAAAGACTTTGCTAGCAAAGAAAACCAGAAAATGCAGTCCTATGACAAATACATAAATAAAAAATACATATACACATGCACGCATGCACATATACATACTCTCTCTCATGGCCTGGAATTAAAACAATGAAACATCCCTTTGTTCAATACAGAAAAACAATGAGAACAGAATGAAAACCACTGCCAGTAGTTAATGAAAGAGCGGATTCAGAAGGTAAAAATGGCACACTTAAAGTCTGTTATTAAGTATTTCAGGGCATCTTTTGTTCACGTGTCACAGTAGCAAATAAAGCCGCTGTCACCCACATGCACTTTATACTTTCATATAGATGGGCTTTATTATAGAAAGCTAACAAACATAGCTAAATTCTTTAACATGACCTAGTCAGCATAACCCCACTTCCCAACATCCTCATGCTTCAGACTTCAAAGGCCAAGTTCATGCCTCTGAAATTAAATTCACTTAACACACATTTCTTCCACAGAAGAATTCAGGAACAGTCACAGCATTTCCCCTAGAGTTTCATTCAGAAGAAATAAAATTAATTCACCTGAACAGAAAGTCTAGAATCGAGGCCTCACTGTAGGAAAGCACAGAACTAGGAGAGAGAAGAAAAAAGCATTCAGATTAAAAAAAAAAGAAAAGAGGAGAGCACAGCTGAGTAAGAAAGAGTTATCAGCAACAGCCTTAGCAGAAACAATGGTGCCCGCTGCTATTCACCAGGTCACCAGCAGAGGGAACAATACTACAGCGAAAAGATAGGACTCAAAGAGACTCATTTGAGTACAGGAAAAATCCATCTTTCTACTTGTTTGATGATTGTGCGCCAAACTATAGGAACTGTTTCATCCTAAGAAAGGTATCGTTTACCAATTGCAGTTGCTTTCAAAAGCTCATAATCAATGGCGAGCTACTGCCAGAGCCTACACTCAGGCTATTGGTAATAATCTATGGTCAGGCCTGGCTTTCTAGCTTCATCCTCAAAGGGCAGGAGTCAGCCAGCTCTGAGATTCTTACCTTCAACAGCTCATCCTCACCAGCATCAGGGAACTTCTCATGCAACGAGTCCTTCAGCACTTTGGCAATGAAGCGCATCCCGTAACTGTGAGACGGACAAAACTTAATGAGAAGGGCCAAGGAGCAGAAAGGTACTAGTGCTGGGCTCTTACTGGGGGTCATGACAACTGATGGCACTCACGGGATTTTGTCCACAGAGCTGACAATGGCTGAGAGAAACTTGTCTGTCACAGCCCGCATGTTCCTGATCGAGTTGTCTAGCCGGGTCTTCACTTCTTCATGAGCTAGTGCCTGCTCAGGGGTCACATCATAGGGCAGTTTGCTGGGAGGACAGAAATTACACACAACTATGTTAGACTAACAGCCAGGAATGGCCTGAAGCAAGTGTCTCATCTTTCATAAACTGAAAGACCCAGAAACATGCGGTAGCACACACTCATGCTTACAGGGCTGGTAAGTGATACGGCTAGAATCTGAACTCAAGTTTTCAACTGTGAATCAGGTGCCTGAATTTTGTGCCAGGCACAATAATAGGCACTTGGAGATAAAAGTTATGTAAGACATGGCCAGGCGCAGTGGCTCACACCTGTAAACCCAGCACTTTGGGAGGCCAAGGCGGGCAGATCACGAAGTCAGGAGTTCGAGACCATCTTGGCCAACATGGTGAAACCCCGTCTCTACTAAAAATACACACACAAAAATAGCTGGGTGTTGTGGTGTGCACCTGTAATCCCAGCTACTTGGGAGGCTGAGGTAGGAGAATTGCTTGAACACGGGAGGTGGAGTACAGTGAGCTGAGATTGTACCACTGCACTCCAGCCTGGGCGACAGAGCAAGACTCTGTCTCAAAAAAAAAAAGTTATATAAGACATAATATCTTCTCTTGAGTCTTTTACAGTCTGGTGGGAGTGACATACAAACATGATTATAAACCTATTGTGCTATAAATCAGTTCATCAAAATTGCTACAGGATCATAGGGAAAGGGCTTCAACTCAGAATGGAAAAAGCAAGGAAGGCTTCCAAAAGGAAGGGATGCTTGAACTCAAGAACACAGCAGAGAAAAAGTCTTCTAAGAAGGAAGGGGAGACAGAGGCAAACTGACAGTGGAAAAGTAGAAGGGAGCAGGCCATGGTGGACCCTGTATACAATACTAACAAATCTGGACCTTCCCAGACACCAGAAGAGGGTCTTCAAAGACAGGAGGGCTAAGCCAGGCACAGCACTGCACAGTAGCATTCCCAGCTACCAGGAAGACTGAGGTGGGAGGATTGCTTGATCAAGGCCTTATCTCAAAAAAAAAAAAAAAAAAAAGACACCCAGGAAGAAAGAATAGAGGTAGAGAGAGCTTTGGTATACACAGAAGGGCGGAGAAGGCAAAGTGACCACAGAGGCAGAGGCTGGAACCACATGGCCACAAGTTGAGGGACATCAACAGTCACCACAAACTGTAAGAGTCGAGAAACTGAGTTTCCATTAAAGCCTCTGCAGGGAGCATGGCTCTTCCAGCACCTCAACTTCACGATAATAGTTTCAGATTTCTGGCCTTCACAACTGTGAGACAATGAATTTTGGTTGTTTTAAGCCACCAAGTTTGAGGTGATTTGTTAAAGCAGCCTTAAAAAATATAAGTAGAGGCCAGGCACGGTGGCTCACGCCTATAATCCCAGCACTTTGGGAGGCCAAGACAGGCGGATTACCTGAGGTCAGGAGTTTAAGACCATCCTGGCCAACATGGAGAAACCCCGTTTCTACTAAAAATATAAAAATTAGCTGGGCATTGTGGCACATGCCTGTAATCCCAGCTACTTGGGAGGCTGAGGCAGGAGAATTACTTGAACCCGGGAGGTGGAGGTTGCAGTGAGCTGACATCACACCATTGCATTCCAGTCTGAGCAACAGAGCGAGACTCTGTCTCAGAAAAACAGAAAAGAGAAAAATACAAGTCGACAGGGATACCCCACTGTATATTTTATTTATGTGACTTTAAAAAGTAGTAACAAGCAAGAGAATCAACATGCTAAAAACAATGGTAATAGAACAAAACATTAGCTAAGATTTTAGGAAAGAACATTTCCAAGAGGTGACAAATTCCAGTTTGCTATGTGTACAGTGGCTGAAGTAAAAGAGGAAAGCTGAGGGACCCCTGACGCTTACCTGCAGGACAGACCCCCACCACACCACCGCACCTCACAGTCACTGGTATCTTAAAAAGAGTTCAAATCAATTGCCTTTTCAAAAAAAAAAGATATGGGGTCTCACTAGTCTCCCAGGCTACGCTCAAACTCCTGGGCTCAAGCGATATTCCTGTCTTGGCCTCCTGAGCAACTGGGACTACTGGTACATGCCACCATGCCTGGCTCAATTTCCATTTTATGAAAGGCAAAATAAGACACAAGTTTCCTGTAGGTACCCACAGGAAAAACAATCCTGAACTGTCCAGTGGGATCTGGATCTAAAAATGACTGACTCATGGACCATCAGAGGAAATAATTGAGCAGCCCTGAACCAGGGTACATGCGGGCTATCAGCAAGGAATGCCCTGGGTTGCAGGCAAAACTTCCCACACAAGTATTGCACTTGGCTGACCACATTCCTGGATTTGGGTCTCAGGTATGCAGGCCAAAAAAATTAAAAAGACTTTTGCAATGATCTGAGTCCTGATAACAGACCCACATAGTACTGTGAACCAATCAGATGCCAAATGATTCCTCATAGGGATTCGCCCTTTCTTTTTTCTTTTTTGTAACCCAGGATGGAGTGCAGTGGTGGCATCATGGCACAGTGCAGCCTCGACCTCCCATGCTCAAGCAATCCCCCTGCCTCAGCCTCTGGAATAACTGAGACTACAGGTGTGGACAACCACACCTAGCTAATTTTTTTTTAAGTGGAGACAAGGTCTCCCTATGTTGCCCAGGCTGGTCTCAAAGGCCCAAAGGCTAAGATGAGCTCAAGCAATCCTCCCACCTCGGCCTCCCAAAGCGCTGGAATTACAGGCGTGAGCTACCATGCCTGGCGAGATAAGCCCTTTCAATGAGTCAGCAGAATTGCCTGGCATCCAGGAACATGGAAGAATTATGTAGAATAGTGTTATTCAAAGTGTGGACCAGTGCCAGTCTACAATCCAATCAAAGACAAAGAGAATGAGTCGGAATGTGAATTAATACACTGCTTCTTTCATTGAGAAAATCTTGCTATTAAAAAAACCATCAGTTAAACTAAACAGTGTGCACAGATGATTTTCCATTACTGGTCTGCAAACTACACTTTGAATAGCAACGGTGTGGAGAGCTGCTGCTCCACCTATGCCCAGAGAGCTTCATGCATGATCTAACCCTACTCTACAACAAGAAAAATCCACAACAGACCATGCTGCTCACATCTCCATTTCCCATCCCTCTAGGTCCTTGCCCAGGATGAATAAAACCAGAAATGTTCTGGCATTCGGAACTCCCTTTTCCCAGCATGACCCATATTTGATTGGCACACTTTTGCTTTCGATAAATTAATGTTGGTGGTTTACGCTACAGCCCTGACTCAGTTATCTCCTGTAATATGTTAACTTAGCCCAGCTCTCAGTATTTCAGGGCAGCTCACCCCACACCATTTTCTTGTTCCTTTAATAAAACACCGTGATCTCACCAAATCTGTATGAGCCTTCTCATTCAATTGCATCCCAGTTATGCCTTTTAGGTCCTAAACCTTCCACCTCAGAGTGTTCAGACATGAACACTCTGCACCTAGCTCTTAGTAAGGCTGGCTTCATCTTAGCCTTTAGGCCTCAGCTAAATGAAATTTTATCTTCTGGGATAGGCTTTCCTTAACCACCCTACCTATGTTAGCTCCCTCTTACAGTCTCCACTACAGAACCCTACATAAAACTTCATGAAACTTTCCTCAATGTTTAATGATACTTTTATTTTTATGTACCTGGTTGGTGTCTCTTCCGCCCAATGACCTAAGAAGAGAGGGCAGGGGGCATGTCTGTTTCACTCATTATTGCATTACTGTATACATCTCTAACACAATGCCTGGAACACAGTAAGTACTCAATAAACATTTGTTAAATAAGTGAATTTATTATGAGGTCAACAACTTATAGAGCACAGTTTTCTAAGGAAAAACTATTTGAGGCTGGGCATGGTGGCTCATGCCTGTAATCCCAGCACTTTGGGAGGCTGAGTCAGATGAATTGCTTGAGGTCAGGAGTTCGAGACCAGCCTGGTCAACATGGCAAAACCCTGTCTCTATTAAAAACAGAAAAATTAGACAGGTGTGGTCGCATGCCTGTAATCCCATCTACTTGGGAGGCTGAGGCATGAGAACTGCTTGAACCCAGGAGGTGGCGCTGCAGTGAGCCGAGGTCCTGCCACAGCATTTCAGCCCGAGCGATAAGAGTGAAACTCCATCTCAAAAGAAAATTTAAAAAAAGAAAAGCTATTTGAACTAGTATTAGTTTATAAATAAAGAGGGTGGAAAAAAGAGGGAAAGAAAGTAACAACATAAAGAAAAGTGTAATGGTTATTATACCTTGCCTCTCCTGTCTGAGACTCCATCTGATTAACCCAAGATTTGTAAATATCCACAGGGTCAGTTTTGATGTTGAGAGATTTGTCATCCATAATTTCCTTCACGACTGGGGCCAAGATCTGTCTCAGGGCATTCTGGCCACGGGCACCACGGTTGAAACTTACAACCATTTTAATAACTGTAGGATTTCCTGTCACAATCTCTTGAATCTGATCTACCTTTGACCTATAAAACATCAGATAAAAATTTAAACTTGTCACAGAATCCATCAATTAAAAGATCCTTCCTGCTTAAAGTTCCTATCTCATAGAAACAGAGTTTCTCTCGAATCATTCCCCAGCACTCACAGAACGTTTCTGTAGCTGTACACTGAATCATGGTCACGATTAGGTCCCCTACTAGAGAAAAATGCAAAATCTTTCTGTTGAGATCACTTTTTGAAATTATACCTTAATACAGAATGTTCCTAAAATTAATTGATCCTCTCCCTAGAAGCAGCAAGATTTTGCATTATTAAAAAATTAGATGCTTCTTTAGAGTAAGTATTTTTCATAAATTAATTGAGATCAAGAAAGGTCCAGAAGGCACGAATCTCAAGCTGGGGTCCCCTGTGATAGTGGGACGGGCCTGTGCCCTGAGGAAATCTGTTCATACTTGATTTCCTCCTGGAGCGCTGTCTTAAAGAGCCGCAGAAGCAGGTACTCCTCTCGCTGGTTGGATGCATAGTTGTAGAGTGTGAAGATCACAGAGTCCATGAACTTGGTGGACTTGTTCTGGGGCATCTGAAAAATTAGCTTGGCCAGATAGGTGGGATTGGTCTGAAATAAAACCGAGGGATAAGTCATTTATAGGTAATATAAAAGCTGGCAAGATATACTTAATTCTTTAAAATCGAAGAACTAGAAGATACGTGAGAAAAAAAATTAATAAATTAACATATTACAATGCCCATCATTTACTCCTCAGTGGAAGTCAAAAATATTTCCAGAGAGATCAATGGGTAAGGTTTTCTTGTGGAAACGTAAATTCGCTAAATTTTTATAACACTGATTCCAGGAGCCACTTACTTGCAGTAAATAAAACAGGTGCTGGTAAGCTTCCAACTTTTCTCTCTTCTCCTTGCTCAAAGCCTTGAGACCTCCCTTCTGTTTATTTACCATCATCATATCAGACAATTGTTCCTTATTTTTTTTGGTAAGTTTTTTACTGTGGGAAACCACATCCTACAAACAAAAACCAATACACACATGAGAAAGCTTTCAAAGATGAACCTCTGGGCATCGTGGAAAGGTCTTGTAGCATGTGCAAACTCCCATGACGGTCGACTGCACGGGCAGGTTCCCACTAAAGATTTTAAAACCACTACACTTTATCCTGTTGTCAGTACACCCATCAAATCCATTCCTATGTTCTGACAAAGAACCTGAGCCATAAGAATGTACACTGAATTGGGGAACCAACTTCTAGCCATCTATTATAAAAATAAGTCTTAAATACAATAAAAGCTACATATATATTGAAACATCAATTGCGATGTTATTTATAATAAACACTTGGTAAACAACCTAAATGTCAAATACCAGGGGGAAAAAGGGGGCAAATCATAGTATATCTTCTAACAATCTATTATGCTACTGTTAAAAATAATATTTACAGGCCGGGCGCGGTGGCTCAAGCCTGTAATCCCAGCACTTTGGGAGGCCGAGGCGGGTGAATCACGAGGTCAAGAGATCGAGACCATCCTGGTCAACATGGTGAAACCCTGTCTCTACTAAAAATACAAAAAAAAAAAAAAAAAAAAAATATTTACAGCCCGGTGCAGTGGCTCACACCTGTAATCCCAGCACTTTGGGAGGCTAAGACAGGAGGATCACTTGAGCCCAGGAGCTCAAGACCAGCCAGGACAACACAGAGAAATCCCGTCTCTTACAAAAATAAAATAAGTAGCCAGGTGCGGTGGCATGCACTGGTTGTCCTAGCTACCTGAGAGGCTGAAGTGGGACAATTACTGGAACCCAGAAGGCTGAGGTTGCAGTGAGCCATGATCATGCCACTGCACTCCAGCCTGGGGTACAGAAGGAGACTCTGTCTCAAAAAATTAAAAGATGTATGACTATTTATCAGAGGGAAAGAGTCTTATCCTCTGATATGAAGTAAGAATGTAAGATACAAAATGAGTGGGGTAGGTGAAATTAGGGGAAGACATTTAACTTCTTTTCTCTATCAAAATTCTGTCTCAAGTTATTTTATGTCTTGTCTAACTTTTTTTTGAGACAGAGTTTTGCTCTGTCACCCAGTCTGGAGTGCAGTGCTGCAATCTTGGCTCACTGTAACCTCTGCCTCCCAGGTTCAAGCAATTCTAACACCTCAGCCCCTGAGTAGCTGAGATTACAGGAATGTGCCACCATATCCAGCTACTTTTTTGTATTTTTTTTTTTAGATGGAGTCTCACACTGTTTTTTTTTTTAATTGCATTTTAGGTTTTGGGGTACATGTGAAGAACATGCAAGATTGTTGCATAGGTACAGACATGGCAGTGTGATTTGCTGCCTTCCTCCCCTTCACCTACATCTGGCATTTCTCCCCATGCTATCCCTCCCCAATTCCCTACCCCACGCT